GAGGGAAATGATTTCTCATGTTATGCTTTCCCCCTCCCAAGTTAGCTCTGCATCTCTACGTGTTTTGATTGTAATATCTGGAATCGGATAGTTTTGGAAAATTTAAATCATCTCGAACTTGAGTATGATTTAGCAAGACTTAACAAGCACATTACCGAGCAACGACACAATTTTCACTTAAATTTGGAAACACTAATTCTATTTACGCCAGTCACGGTAGCCGAGGGGTCTAAGGCTTGTACTGTTTTCGCTCGGAAGCCGGAATCGTGTGTTCGAATCCCACACAAGGCATGGATGTTTAATATGTGTGTTTATTATGTTTTTGTGTTGTCCTGTGTTTAGGTAGAGGCCTTGCGACGGGCTAATCACTCGTCCAGTCAGTCCTACCGTATGTAAAGTGATCAAAATGAAAAAACAACCTCGATACCATAAGGTATAAGAGGAACGGATTACGTAAGTAAGTAAATCCTATGTACGAATAGCAGCATTGACTTTTGCAAACAGAATGTAAGTAAAAAGAAAAAGGCCTTGTGAGATGTGGGTTTATCACGGCGGAGAATATTAAGGCTGTACTAAGGGAAGGAAGGCCTCTTTTACAAGGAAATATTAAAATTTTAAATATTTTACGCTTTTGGACGGTTTACATTTCAGTTCTGCCGCAGAGCATGACGGAGGACGGGCTGCAACATTAGGGTTCGACGTGCCTGTTAAATTGAAATTGTTGCCTGCCGACGATTTTCATAGCTTTATATAAACACGCATGCGCGAGGGCTGAAATACGGTGTCATCTTGATTTTCTGAAATGCGAGAAAGACCATCTTCACGTTTTTTTGTGTGTACAACGTGTATATCATTCGATTGGTTCTAGATGCGATTTCCAGACAATCTTTCTTATCCCTTGAGAAGAGATTTCTCGAAGAACATTAACTTTCTGCGGAAATATCAAGGGAGTACTTAGTTACGTGGCTTTCTTGAATATTGTATCTGTATGTGGCGTGTTTTCTGTCATAGAATTCGAGTGTATTGAGGGTTATGTACGTTGCGTGTTCCACTCTAATGGGACCGTAAGTTATTTAAGTTGTACCAAATTTCATTAGTATTTTTTTTATTGCTAATGAGGTGGGACTAGGTCACTTGTAGTGCGGCCACTTCTGGCCTATTGTACCAGCCCCAGATGATAGGTGAGGGTGATTGTGGAGCAGTTGGTGGAATGAAGATTGGCAGGGGAAACCGAAGTACTCGGAGAAAACCTGCCCTAGAGCCTCTTTGTCCACCACAAATCCCACTTGACCAGACCCAGGATCGAGCCCGGGCCGCCGCGGTGGGAAGCCAGCAACTAACCGCTTGAGCTATGGCGCGGTCCTAATTTCGTTAGTAAGACAGGCAATGCACGGAAATGTAAAACCCTTAAGTGTACATAAGAGTTACGTCTAAAATGAAACTGGTTCTATACGTTATAGTATTGTATATGAAATGATATGAATTGTGAACCAGGGCAGTTCGGTTAAAATGATCAGCGGGCAATCGCCTGTGGTTCACGACTTCTTCATATCAGTATTTACTTAAATGTTTTACAAGGGTGGGTCATAATATTTCGCCCCTTGCACCGCGACCATCACTGATCTATTGTGCTTCACCTTTGATTAACCCTTTATTAATTCTACACTTCGAATGAAATGCAATGCCCTATTTACGGGGGCGTCATAATAGTCACTTGGTTCCATGAAGAACTAACCCAGGTGACGAAATCCAAAATAAGCTATGGCCTCACAGTCACACAGGATGTGTGTGGCTGATTCGTTTTCTTGTAGGCACCTTTCACAGGTTGGGTCATCTGTCAGTCCCAGTTTGAAAAGGTGCCCTTTCAGGTGGCAGTGTCCAGCAAGTAATCCTACCACCCATCTCAATTGATCTCTGTTTAATTTCGACATGTCCTTCGTTCTTCTGACAGAGGACCTTGGTATAAGTAAGTCCCTTTGTCTGTTTGAGTCCAGTTGTGGATTCGCATTTTTTTTTTTGGTGATTTCTGTTCGTCCAGTCCCTGAACGCTTTCTTGGCAACTCCAGTTGAGATGCCGCAAAGTGGTTCAGGTCCTGTTCTTGCCAGCTGATCCCTTGTATCATTACCAACATGACCTGGCACCCGTATCAGTTGACCCTGTTATGTCTGGCCACTTGCATGAGGGATTGGTGGCAGTCCCAGACCAGTTTGAGGTGATCTGGTGTTTGCCAAGTGCTTTAATTGCAGCTTGACTGTTTGACAGACTGTAGATATTTGTGTTTTATAGTTCTTCCAGTATTTACTTAAAATGTAAACTGAAGTGAGTTTATGACTTTGAATTTGAGGTTCGCAGAGCGGTGGCTATGAAGAGCACTATTTTCTGGGGCGTGTGACGATGTGGAATTCTATAGAATTCGCCCAAGTTTCAGAGGGACGTACTGTCTCCATCTTCAGGATGGAGTAGTAAGCCGAGGGAGCAAGAATGAGAGTGCTTGCTCGTTGCTTGCGTGGCTTACTGTTTGACTCTGAAGATGAAGACAGGACGCTCCTCCGAAACGTCGATGTAGTTCTTTGAGAATACACAGCGTCACACTCCAGAAAATAGTACTCTTTAGTTTAGTTTAGTTTAAATCTTGTATGGATCCAAATCTAACATAGTATATGTTATGACTTAAGGTTTTGTCCACTCTTGGACCAGTGGAAGAAGTCTCGTGGATTGGTTATGGCCGCCGGACCACTATTGGAAACATTTGGGCAACGCACGAATTACGTCTGCTATACTCGTACAGAATATTTTCATAACAATAACTACTGCTACACCGTGTAATAGGGTCCTCTTTATGAAGAGGGCAGAGTGGTCCCAGGGGCCCCTATCGCGCAAGTGTCAGTACCCTGTCCGTAAACTTCCCCACAGTAGTTACCAAAAAAGAAGTTTCCATTGTAATTTACAACTTCTTTGTATTTTTATTCGCAGAACATTAAAAGTCTTTAATGGATAGTTCGGCTTTGAAGTTCTATTAACATTAGACACAAACGACTTCTAGAGATTGCTTTAGTGCGTGTGACATTTCGTATCTTTGAATGTAAAGGTAAAAAGGGTTAAGTTATCCCTCTACTCAATTAATAAAGCGCTGTGCCATGAAGACATATGGGGGAGTGGAGGTATAGCTCCAGCATTCTTGACCTCGTTACTAGGCGCAGGTGAGTAGTCAGCTTCACTGCTCTGCTGCTGGATGGGCTCCAGAGTCGATCTGGACGCTGTGGAGAAAAGACAGAAATCTTGCTCATGCCGGAAATTGAACCCCGGCTATTCAGCCCATAATCCATCGCTATATCGTCTGAGCTATCCTGTCTCACATAAAATGTAAAGTACAAATAATTTTAAAACATTAGATATTTTCGTGTCCTTTTCCGTTTTGATTATATAAATACGTTTTGTACGGGCATCAGTTTGTAGGATCCCTTCTCTAAAAACACAGACAAGAGAACAAGGCCCCAAGATAATGCTTTGCCTAGGGTCCGCCTTTGGCTTAACGCCGCCGTGCTTGTTGTAGAGAAACTTTTTAATTCGAAGGCCCTGGGGTTTACTCAGCCTCTAACAGAAATGAGTACCAGGAATTAATTAAATAATTTTCGTGGGGAGTAAAGCGCGGCCGGCGCGTAAGACTGACAACCTTACCGCCATCTTTGAGCTGATTGTCCAGATAATGTGGGACCCTCAACGTGTCACAACCCTATGGGCCTTCACGGCCTGTTACAGGGATAGTTTTACTTACTTTTTATATCGCAGGACAGTTGTGCTTTTCTTACATATCGAGAGGGATGCTTGGTTGCTTTTTAACGATGAACAGAAAAAGATTTCGAAGGAAAGGCCATAGCTTTCTCAATATACTAGTCTTGAACTTATATATATATAGACGGAAGAAAATGACGAAGACCAAAGGATAGATAACTGATGTCTTAGATTAGACTTGAACAGGAAACGTCGATAGTAGCAGGGGCTGTATCGCTGAGTTAACTAGCTTGGTGCTTGTGTAACATTTGTATGTATCAGATGTGGTTTGACACATCTTTGCGAATGTGTGGATTCCCCGTAAGTGACAATCGGAAGCAATATGTCTTGTGGATGCCGCGGTTGCGCGCCTTTTTCGCTAAGATCCAGATCAACTTCGTTCCCGTACAAGCGATCATTTCCTTGAACCTTGTTGTCGTCGCAATCATCATCATCATCATCATCATCATCATCATCATCATCCATTGTCGCCGCCGTCTTCGTCATCGCATTTGAGGTTCTGACGGCAGTGAGTGTCATGACCAGGGCCCGGATTTTGATGACCTGAAAATATTTAAAAAACGACCTATAAAATGACAGAAAAATCCAGAGAAATGACCTAAAGGAGAAAAGGAAGAACACTTCGCTTCCATGTTATTCACATTTCAGGAAACATATGAAGAAAAATTCCCAAAAATGGCCAAAAATGACAAGAAATACCATTAAAAGCCCAAAAGTTTACCAAAAAATTAACCCCAAAATGAAAAAATTTCCTTAAACCTAGAAATGTAAAAAAAATGACAAAAATTACCTATAAAATTTACATTTCTGTAACCAGCAGCTCATATCCGAGATTTATATATTTAAGAGCATCGCATATGATACAAGGGAAAAAAAAAAAGATGACGTCATCAAAATCCGGGCCCTGGTCATGACTAAGCCTTCGTGTATGTGACGCCATTAAATCTGGTAGACAATTACCAACATAAGGTCATATGATTTGACAATAGTGATTTCCGTCTGCCACTCAACCTCCATCTAGTGCTGAGGTGAAGAACGGTGGAGCCAATACCTCCACTACCCCACACGGCTATGCTTTCATCACAAAATTCTCAATGAATTAAGCACAGGGACAGCTGTACCTTTGCTATCGACAGTATACACGTATATTTTCAGCCTGGATGTAAGTCACAGTTTGGCTCATGAAACTGATATTTCCTGTTTTCAGGGCAGCCAGCGAGGACGTTGTGACGTCACCGGCAGTACAGTGTAACCATCATACGTACGGGCTGCAATCTTGACGGGGGCGGTGGCCTCGGGGCTAAACCGGCAGGCTGTATGGCACTGGGGTCCCCTCGCCACCATCACCATCACCTCCACCACCAGCACCTCTACTACTACCTCTACCATCACAGACATCGCCTCTTCCAGTCGGCTCGTTCAGCAACATGGTGAAAACCTTCCAGGCCTACTTGCCCAATTGTCATCGCACTTACTCGTGCATCCATTGTCGGGCGCACCTAGCCAATCACGACGAACTCATATCAAAGGTGAGCGAACTTCCTTGCCCTTGTATGTGAGCTCACCTGATCAGTCAGAACGAAGTGATCTCAGAGGCGAGTAAGCTTCCTTGCACTTGTGAGCTCACCTAATCAGTCAGGACGAACTCTTACCAAAGGTGAGTGAGCTTTCTTACACTTGTGAGTTCACCTAATCAGTCAGGACGAACTCTTATCAAAGTGAGTGATGTTTCTTACACTTGTGAGCTCACCTAATCATTCAGGACGAACTCTTTATCAGAGGTGAGTGATCTTTCTTATACTTGTGAGCTCACCTAATCAGTCAGGACGAACTCTTATCAAAGGTGAGTGAGGTTTCTTACACTTGTGAGCTCACCTAATCAACCAGGACGGACTCATATGAAAGGTGACTAAGCTTTGCACTTGTATGTGAGCTCACCAAGCGAATCAGGACGAACTCTTATCAAAGGTGAGTGACAACTTTGAACTTGTGAGCTCACTTAAACGAACTCATAAGAAAGGTGGGTGTTTCCTTGTCCGTGTATGTGAGCTCACTTAGAGGATGAGGACGAACTCTTATCAGAGGTGAGTGAGTTTCCTTGTACTTGTGTGCGTGGGCTGACTTAGCCAAACACGTTTTCTTAGCTCTGCAATAACGAATGCTCAGAGGAAATTCACCCGATGGCGATTACCCAGAGCATGCGGAAGCCTCTCTCGTGTAGTAGTACCATAGTCCGTGGGGTGGACAGTTCAACATTCCTCCTGGGGTCTGTGGAATTTCAGGAGGGATAGATTCGAAGCTTATCGGACAATGTTACAACTGCTCTGAGTATGCGTATGTAAGTTGCGTTTCGGTTTGTTACGGCTGTGACTGTGGAGTATGTTAACAGCACAGACGAGCTTACTCTTCATCCCGTTTTCTGGGATGTGGCCCCATATAATCTGGTGGAAAACCTGAAGATGGCACTTTAAGGGTCGAAACATGTGTTGATTTTTAAATTAATTAATAGAAACATTGTTGCATTTGACTGTTGAACGTGTTTAAGGTTTTAATGTCTTTATAATTGTAATACACGCAACAGGATGCAAACAATAAAAAATCTAGGTGATTGTTATTAACGTTTCTGAGAAACCTGCTCTCTTCTCTATCTTTGGGGTAGAAGGGTTACTACTACATGGCGTCATATCCTAGAAGGCTATATAATCTTATTATTCGTCCCTGTAAGAAACCCAAGTATGGTAATATTTTAGAAATAAGGATTAAACCTTTAAGGCGCAGTGGTTACTGTAGGTACCACCTTCTTTACCACACTAAAACTCTGCATTCTGCCTACACAGTGTGTTTGTGTGTTCCGTATGGTTTTCACAATAAACAGCGATTATTTCCTTAAACTTCATTAATCAATTGATTTTATAGCGGAGACGTAATATGTTTCCTGTGAGGTACGAACTCAATTATTTATATATATGGCGCTATAATCAAGTGTAGTCACGAGTCGTGTGTTAAAGTGGTCGGTAAATCAAATCTCCAATCCAACCCCGTCTAAAGTCACTCAAACACGTGTCAATATATATATATATATATATATATTTATTGGAGATTTGATTTACCGACCACTTTAACACACGACTCGTGACTACACTTGATTATAGCGCTATCACTGATGTCCACACTTTACAAATCACTACAGAACATGCTAAGTCTTCAGTCTGCTCTCTTTATCAGCCGTTTCCTCGTGACAGCGTCTAACAGTGGAGATTCTTCATCGTCTGTGCTCACGTCGTTACTGTCCGGCGAATATCCCGCAACTAAGTCTCCTCTCTTCACATACTCCCTTACAACTGTCTGAACTCTTGCTCCAGTTGTCCTTATAATATCTCGTCACGGACCACGTAGAAAATATCTTTCATTCTTGTACTCCAGTCGTCGTAGGAACATGTTTGTTTACGAAGGCGTTACTTAGCAACGGCTGCGTGTATTTGCTTATTAAGAATCTTTTGCCTAGCAGCGGATGTTGTTCCGTTGTTGTTACTCAGTAACGGCTCTCTACACGCCACGATATTATTTAAGATGGCGGTAGTTTATGTACGATTTGAGTGAGGGAGTGTGAGTGGGAGCCAGTAGGGTCACTCCCTAATAAAGAGGGAGTGACAGTAGCAATGGTACCTCTCCTTTTGTCGAAGAGAAGGCCCAATTTCAAAGCACGTAGAAGTCAGGAGGGTACAAAAATATGGTCATGGGTCCCCATGGGGCCCGATACCGAGAAGACTGTGCTGGCAAGGACCAGCAGCAATTGACTGGACTGGACGTCTGCCTTTAAAGGGTCAAATTCATAGGAGAATTTTATTTTTAACGTTCTCATACGCTCGTGGACATGTGACATCATCATAACCTGTTAAAACTTTGAAGCGACCCAGAGAGCTGGTGATTGGATCGGATGCGGGTTACTTAATGGATTTCAGAGGTTGTGCCATAGCTGAGGCGGTTAGTCGCCGGCTTCCCACCGCGGAGCCCCTAGTTCTAGCTCGGGTCAGGTCATGTGGGATTTGTGGTGGACACAGTGACACTGGCGCAGATTTTCTCCGAGTACTTCGGTTTCACCTGCCAATTCTGATTTCCACCGACTGTTCCACACTCATCATCTATCACCCGGGGCCGCTACAATAGGCCAGTTAGTGACCGACGTACCAGGTGGACTTTGTCTCACTCCACCCCAAGAAACTAAAAAGAAAACTAATGGATTTGAGGTTTTTGCGATGGTGATTATGAAGGCTATTAGCTTCAGAGATGTGACGCCTTGTAGTCTGGTGGATGTATATTGACGATTCGGAGGAACGTGCTGCCTCCTTCTTCAGGGTCGAAAGGTAAGATAGGGAAGTAACCAGCAAGAATCAAGCACTAAGAAGAGGAGATAGGATTTTCAAAACAGGGCGTCGATTTAAGCCTTTGAAGTTCAAGTATCTGAATGAGACCCGAAGTAATGGAGTTTTGGCCAAAGGAACCTGTAAGCTCAAACATGAATGTTACGTTTGTCTGATTCGTCGATCGCCTGGATTTATAGACTACCTGTCACGTTTTGTATTAGGGTGGGTTGCTGTTACCTATAACAGGCGCACCGGGCAACGCAGTTACTTTACTGTGTGTGATGTCCTTACATTTGATATTAACTGTTCCATGCCCCTTCGTTAAGTCAGAATACGCCATCAAAGCGTGACCAGACATACGCAATATTGTACAGTCACGACTTCCAGCAAGTGGATACTTGAACGCGTGTTTAAGTATTTGTGTCGATATGTTTGTGCATAAAGGCGCCTTCTACTTGAAATACAGTGGCTGATGTGCTATGTGAGATGGTCTTAACTGGAATTTTGGTCTCAAATTAATCTTTGGATTTGCCGTAATCAGAATTTTATATTCGTTTCGTAAAATAGTTGACGGTTAAAACATAAAGATTTTTTGTACATTCCCGTATATCATGTCAAAGTCGAAGTAACATTGCGACTGACTGTCAGTCTGTCTGTCTTGGTGTTGAGCCCCGACTGGGGCTCATGACCAGATTTTTTTTTTCTTTATATGAAAGGTACTGTCCTGTTCATTTGGGGCGCCCTCTCTGACGAGAGGTCGGGTCTGTCATTTGTCAGTCATAGTCTGTGTTAGTAAGTCCATTGTCAGTATTTACATATATTTACAATCTAAACTTAATTCCTATTTCTGTGTACAGTATATACAAGGCCTCTGTCAATCCAGGCTCGGTACAGCAGATTATGCCCTATTTCTAGTAGTATTCGCTACCACAGTAGCCTAATCACTTGAACGGTCGTATGCCTGACCGCCGCCAAGTTTAAGCCTCTTATACTTTCTGTGTCTGGCTTCGCCTCGTATATCATGCACCCCACTTTCCTTTGATATGGCACGTACCGCATAGAAAAAAAAGGACGCCTCCAACAATTCCTCATTGCAGCGGGAACTTGTTTACCGAGCCGTTGCCTAGGAACGGTAGTGTGACAGACTCACCTTTCATACGACACGGACCGCATAGAAGACGAAGCGTCCGACAGTTCTTCTGTTGTTGCGTATGTATTTGTTGCCGCGGTAACAATTGTACCTAATCTTTGCCTAGCAACATACACAAGACTGATGGGAGGCATTGTCGAAGTACGGCGTTCAGACGGGATCAGATATAATGTACATACCAAGTTTAATAAAGATCGATCAGACATTCAGGAAGGAGATCGCATTAACATAAAATGTATATTTTGCTGTGCGAGGAAGGCAGTAAGTAAACTAAGATATTAGTCAGATGCTTTGGCATCTTCAGCCTTCTCTGCGGG